CCCAAGTGCCACTAGATGCAATCACTCAAACAAATGCACTAGGAATCACTCCCAATCTCACTATGATGATGAATCAATGATGGAGATGAGTGGGAGGTGTTTGCTTAGGCTCACAAGGATGTTAAGTATATCAACGTGCAAGAGAAGCATCCCCAAGCCGGCCAAATACTATTTATAGACACCCCTAAAGGAGGGGCGCTCTATGTACTGACCGGACGCGCCGGTCGAGATGACCGGACACGTCAGGTGCATTATTGCAATAGCCTACGATGCAAGTTGTAGTAGCGTCTGATCGAAGTTGTAGTAGCATCTGGTCATTGTTGCATCAGCGTCCGGTGCGATCCAGAGAGGTTCTAGAGAGGTATTTTGGTGACTGGACGCATCCGGTCACTACTGACCGGACTCACCCAGCGTTAGGTCATCCAATCGCATTTGTTGCCTGTCTGTGAACAGTTGCACACGTGCGTCCGATCACATGTTGCACTAGCGTCCGATCTAAGTTGCTGCGTCCGGCCATGACCTGAAATCCTCCTTTTCAACTCAAACTTCACCACCCTTGCTTTCATGTGCTAAGCACCAAGTGTATCACCAATGTGCATGTGTGTTAGCATTTTCACAAAGCATTTTCAAGGGTTAATTGTTAGTACACTAGGTTCCTAAGTGCATATGCAAGAATCATGTCACCTAGTGGCACTCGATAAACCGTTTAGCCAAAGATTTCTCCTCTTTATAGTACGGCTATTGATCCTAAATACACTCACACCCTCTATGGTGTCTTGAGTGGCAAAACAAAAACCTATTTTATATCTTTGCCTTGATCATCTTAGTTTTTGTTTTTCTCTTTCTTCTTTTCAAGTTGGAGCTTGATCATCATCAACACATGTCCATCTCCATCTCCATGGACTTCATCACCATGCTCCATCACTTGGTATGTACCAACCTTGCTCACATGACACTCATGACAAATGTTAGTACTTATGTTTCATCAATTAGCCAAAATTAAACTAGAGCTTTCACATGGGCACACTGCTGCCTCTAACAAAACGTCATTATTAATCACCATTTGTAGAGGTGATCAAAATTCCCATCTCTATAAATTGATTGATTAACGAAAAAATCATAAAATTATATTCTTCCCAAGACTCGATCTCAAAACTTGCAACACAACACTTATACTATTTTACCACTACACCAGTAAATCACTTGTTAATATACTTAGGATTCTATCTTTATGTACAAACATTTTATAATATGGTATTGAGTATTTTGACTCAAGTAAAAAAAAGCTTCAACTACAAAGGGTTAAATCTTGTCGAGCAGTACAACTTTGGTATAGGATGTGTGTCCAAGCCAGATTGTTTGAAAAATTAAAAAAAATTGAATATCAAAATATGTGAATTTAAATTAAATATTTAAGACACTAAATAACTTCAAATAAAAAACTTATCAATAGAAAAAAGACGTAGATCGGATTGGCCACTACAACTTTGGTTTTAGCAATGTGAACATTAGGTTGTTTAGGAATTCTAAATTTTTTAAATCTATAAACTCACAATACATATTTGGGACTCTAAATGACTTCAAATAAAAAACTTTTCCACTATAAAGTTGTAGATTGTATTAAGAACTACAACTTTGGTATAGACCATGTCAATATCAGCAATTGTTTGAAAATTTTAAATTTTAAGTTTTAAAATCCACAAAATTAAAATAATATTACAGGACTCTAAACAGTTTCAAATAAAAAAAATCAATTATCAAGTTGTAGATCGTGTCGAGAGCTATAATTTGAATATAAATTTTATCTTCTTTCGAGTTCATCTATAAAATTTTTGAACTATTTTTGTATGCATCTATTTATAGCGACAAACATCTAAGATGACCACCTTAGATGTTGACAGGATGCTAGGAACGTCCGCCTCTAGTAATAGTGATTTTTAGAGCCGGACACATTAAGATGCTCGTCTATTAAGATGCTCGTCTATGTAATTCTATTTTCGGAGACGGAACATTTTTTATAACTTTAGTTAAACTTAAAATCAGTTGACTCCTTAAAATGCGAGATGCGTATTTATTTTAGAACAAGAAAGGTACGCTACTTCTGCATCATGTATAGCAGTTAGAAAAAGAAACATCATGTATAGCACTTATTGTATTTGAGAATGACAAATGCATATCACTTATGCTGGGCCGTGGGCCCCGATCCGCACATCAGCTAGCCAAATCCCGGCCCGTTGGACCCGGTCGGCCCCGATCCGCACATCAGCTGCCATGCCTTCACCCCGAGTCCTCTCCACCAGCACTTCTCCTATGACAAGGATGAGGCCGTGGCCGAGGCGGCGGCCAACGAGGCAAACTGAGGGCCACTTCTCACACCAGACACGGGACAGGGGACACCATGATTCATCTTCACTCAGTAATTGAAACCCTGAAGTTGAACTCCTCGCTGGCCTGGACCGTGACCAGTCATCAATATTTTAAAATTGCACTTTTCATCCACAGAAACATGGCACCGTGCCCATCAATGGGCTCACAAGTCACATCAGACAAGTACAGAAGCCGGCAATAATGGACGACCTCTCACTATTAGGCCCTGTTTGGTTACCTGCTAAAAACTTTAGGAGCTAAAATCTGGATATAATCTGTCTAAAGAACCAAACACTCTCTCCTAAAACCTCTTAAAAGTTTTAGGGGGCTGGTTTTTCTTTAGGAGCTCCACCCCCTTCTAAAACCTCCTAAAGTCCTTCCTGGACCCTCACTACCCCTCATTTATTGCCCCCTCCCTCCCTCTCTCTCTCCTAAAGAAGGGTAAAAGTGTCTTTGTTCAACAACATTTACTGCTTTTAGTCAGTTTTAGGAGGTGCAACCAAACATTTTTTTAGGAGGTTTTAGAAGACTGCCTAAAATTTTTAGAAACTAAAGTTTTAGGAGGTCGGAACCAAACAGGGCCTTATTAATGTCGAATGTACACACATCAGACAAGTACAGAAGCCTACGCCCATTCGCTTCGCTGGAAGCAATAAATACTGTTCCGATAGATTTGTTGGAAAAAAAATATTGTATTGATTAAAAAAATAAGCTGAAAATACGAATTATAAGAAAAATTAACAGGCCTATTTCATTTTTCTTATAATCCGTACTTTAGTATAGCATTACAACCAATTTGAGGTGCACTGAGAATGGAAGCCAATTTGCTCATCACCATATTTTATTTTGTTTTCAGCAAACAAATTAAAATAAAAACCAGCCAAACTTGTCTTATTACACAGGTATACAATACCTCACCACCCATGCTAAAGTGACAATAATAACGGTTTCATCCTTGAGCTAGCTGGCCCTTAAAATTAAGGTTCCACCTGGCTTACATGCATGTTTATATTTGGACAGGACATAGGGTACCTTGCACCTAAAGCAGTATAAATCTATGTTCCGTGTGCTATACCATCAGGCGGCCATATGCCTCCACCCAATTCCTCTCCACATTAGTCAACACTTTTCCTTTGTCGAGGAAGAGACGGCGGGCACCAAGGTAAATTAAGGACCACTACTCATACCAGACACCATGAATCCATGATTCGTCCTCGCTAATTGAATCCTGAGGTTAAACTTCCTGGACCATGACGAATCATTAATATTTTAAAATTACTCCTCCATCATAAAATAAGTGCGCGTATCATGTTGCGACGAATCAATGAATCTTAAATTTAACCAAATATATATAAAAATATTAATGTTTGTCACAATAAATAAATATAATTAAATTAATCATGCAATATATTTTTAGTAAATCTATTTAATGACAATACAAATGTCTATATTATTTTTGTAAACATAGTCAAACTTAAAATTAGTTGAATTCTTACAATGCGAGATGTGTATACTTATTTTAAAAAGAAAAAGATAAATTTTTGTGAACAAATGTAATTTTCAACATCTAGAAGCACAGAAGAATGCTTATACTCAATCCATTCAAATTGTAAGACGTTTGACTTTTTTGACATCAAACAAATGTCTTATTCAAAAATTTAATAAAATTTAGCAAAACCAACAGGGCCGTATAGCACCGTATTTCAGAATGACGAATGCTTATATCATTTATGCTGGGCCGTGGGCCCCGGTCTGCACATCAGCTTGTGCTCTGCTCCGCGGCCACCACCCAAGACCCAAGTCCTCTCCACATCGTCAGCGCTTTTCCTAGGCCGTGGGCCCGTTGCATAGGCGGCGGGCAACGAGGCAAATTGAGGACCACTTGTCACACCAGACACGCGTGTAGTTGAAACCTGAAGCTGAAGTTAAACTCCTCGCTGGCCTGGACCGTGACCAGTCATCAATATTTTAAAATTGCGCTTTTCTTCTGCATCGTGTATTGCAGATTGAAAAGAAAAAAGAAAGAAACAGTTGGGGGTATGCTTGGAACTTTTCATGCACAAATACATGGCACACCCTGCCCTTCAATCCATGGGCTCACATCAGACAAAGTATATGACAGAAGCCGGCAATGGACCTCTCACTATTATTATTGTTGAATACTAGTACTAGAGAAGGATTCATGCAGAGGTGCACTGAAAATGGCAGCCAATTTGCTCATCACCACACTACAATTCCTTTTATTTTGTTCTGAGCAAATTAAAGAAAGAAATTAAAATATTAAAAACCAGCCAAGCTTGTCTTTTACACAGGTACACAATGCCTCACCATTGCAAGCTAATAAAGTAGCTAGTAACAATTAATAATAAAGGTCTTAACCGTGAGCTAGCTCGCCCTTAAAATTAATAAGGTTCTACTACAAGGGCTTACAGGCAGCATGCTTACATCGTGCGACTGACAGTACATGGAAAATAGTAAAAGGCAACAGCTACTACACACGACAATTATGCAGAAATAGAGCCACATTATTTGCGTTGATTGCGGACGAACGTACGGGTCCGTCGTCGTCGGAGGAAAATAATCACGAACCATCGACTGATGATGGAGGGAATTCACGGAGATGGGGGATCATTTCAGGCGGCGGTGACGGCCGCTCCGGTGGTGATGGGGACGCTGTGGAGCACGACGGTCTCGACGGTGAGCCCGGGGCCGAAGCCGAAGAGGACGCCCCAGTCGAACCCCTCCCCCGTGGTGGCCTGCCCATCCTCGGCGGAGCGCTTGCGCATCTCGTCGAGGATGAAGAGCACGCAGGCGCTGGACATGTTGCCGTACTCGGAGAGCACGTGGCGCGTCGCGCGCATCCGCTCCTTGTCCAGGCCGACCTTGGCCTCCACCTGGTCCAGGATGGCGGGGCCACCGGGGTGCGCCACCCAGAATATGGAGTTCCAGTCGGTGATGCCCAGCGGCTTGAACGCCTCCTCCAGCGCGCGCTCGACGTTCTTGGAGATGAGTCCGGGAACGTCCTTGAGCAGGTGGAATGTGAGCCCGACCTCGCGGAGGTGGCCGTCGATGGCGCCCTCGGAGTCCGGCAGGATGGTCTGCGCTGCCGACACGACCTGGAACAGCGGCCGCTCCACGCGTTCGTCGGGGTCAGCGCCCACGATGACCGCCGCCGCGCCGTCGCCGAACAGCGCCTGCCCGACCATGGAATCGAGGTGGGACTCGCTGGGCCCGCGGAACGTGACGGCCGTGATTTCGGAGCACACCACTAGAACCCGCGCCCCGCGGTTGTTCTCCGCGAGGTCCTTGGCCACGCGCAGCACCGTGCCGCCCGCGAAGCACCCCTGCTGGTACATCATCAGGCGGTTCACCGAGGGCCGCAGGCCCAGCATCTTGGTGAGCTGGTAGTCGGCGCCAGGCATGTCGACGCCGGAGGTGGTGCAGAAGATGAGGTGGGTGATCTTGGATTTCGGCTGCCCCCACTCCTTGATCGCCTTCTGCGCCGCGGCCTTGCCCAGCTTGGGGACCTCCACCACCACGATGTCCTGGCGCGCGTCCAGCGACGGCGCCATGTACGCGCACATGTTGGGGTTTTCCGCAAGGTACTCCTCCGTCAGGTGCATGTACCGCTTTCGGATCTGCGACTTGTCGCCTGCACCAGGACAGTCATGTCATGTTCATGTCAGAGTCAGAATCAACCCACGCACCGTCGTCGTCAGTCGTCAAGGCATGCCATGCCATGCCAGAGCACGGACGTCAAGGCAAGACCGCTGTCGTCGGTCAGTTTCTAGCCTTTTGCCTACGAGAAGTTGCTAGCTCTGCTAGCTGCTGGCTCGTCGTCGTCCACGCAACGATAGGTCAATCGAAAAAAAGAGAAGGGTCCGTCGAATCGACCCAGAGTGGTGGTTAGGTACGGTGGTGTGCGAAGACTGTGCCGAACTAACAAGAGAATTCTGCAGTACTAGTGCTTAACACAGGAGTCCTAATTAAAATACATAGTCATGAGTGTCTGCTTGTGTCACACAGCAGGAAAACTTTTGGAATCAGTAAAAAAACGAAGAGACAACCGTAGTCTTCTACTCTTAAGTGGTAAAAATATTCAGAGTAATTAACTTGGTCGTCAGTGGTGTAAACTGTGTGAGTGGCGCGAGCACGGTGAAACACCTGGAAGCTGCTACTAGCTAAGCTAATGCCTAGTCGACCGACCCACGAGGAAAAAAAAAGCAGGAGACGACGATGTGAGTGATCAAGCTTCTTGACTGCTGTGTAGAGCTGAGCGAGCGATGGAGACGACGACGACAGATAGAGACAGAGAGACTGAGAGAGAGATACTCACACATCCTCTTGAACTTCTCCTTGAGGTCGGTCATGTGCTCGCTCTTGGTGATCCGGAAGTAGTAGTCCGGGTAGTCCGCCTGGTACACGCAGTTGGCGGGCGTCGCCGTCCCGATCGCCAGCACGGTGGCCGGACCGGTGGCGCGCTGCGCCTTCCTCACCTCCTCCACGGTCACAGTCGCGCCGGCCATCGTCTCCGTCCGCTCTTTCTCTCTACGTTGTACCACAGACTTCAGCAGGTCGATCGATCGGCCGCTAGCTACTCCGACAGCAGCAGCACTTCGATAGGTCGGTCGCCGGCCGGCTTTCCGGATCGTCGGAGCGAGAGAGCTAGCTGTGACTGCGAGCCAGCGCTGTGGATGGATGATCGGAGGCAGGAGGGCTAGCTGCGCTTGCTCTAATGGCAGAGGAGGCCCGCGGGGTGGTTATATAGCCGCGCGGGGCGGGGGCAGGTGACAGGCGAGGCGACGGGTAATCATCGGGTTAGGTCAGTTGGACGGGCGGCTGGGTCGCCACGTGTGCGGCGACGACGGGGAGGTAGTGGCGCCCGCGCACACGTCTCGCCCATCGGGAGCCCCGGGGTTAGTTGGGTCGCGTGGCCACGGGCCGCGGGCGGGTGGGCGGACGGCAGGCGTGCGTGGTGTAGCGCTAGTATGCGGTTGGGGCGCAGCAGCTAGCACACCCAGCAGCCAGTCAGAGGTAGCCAACAGAGAGGCGCGTAGCTAGCTAGCGGCGGTTCCCGTCGTCGGTCTCGTCCATCCGGTGGTCAGCTACCACGGCGGCTGTACCGCGGAGAAATCGGTCCAGCCGTCCAGGCTCGTTCGATCGGCATGTGATGCCCAAGTTCAACAATATCTCGTCGCGGAGAAATCAATGCCCTTTGAAAGATCTCCTATGCCAGCTAAGTCTAAACATGTGTGGATTTCGCTTGACACAAAACAATCGACTTTTAGGGGGTGGTCGTGTTTTTGTAAAATCGCCCATGCATGTTTTCTCTTTGCTTCATTTTTCTGTGGGAGTGAATGCATGCTTGTGTTTAAAATCATGCATGTCTCCATGTGTGTAAATCATCAGGGTCCCTCGAATGTGAACCTTATAGCAGTAAGTGGAGTCGTGTTGTCCTCGTGCCTCGGCTAGAAAGCTTGTCAATTTCTACTTTTCCAGAGAATACTGCACATTTCTATTGCTATATATGCATGAAGAGTTACACATATATAGCTAGATCGCCATTGCATGAGTGACGTTATCACTAGATTTTTGGGCGGTAGATACTTCGTGATAAGTAACTTTCACTATTTTCGATAATAATTTATAACTTCGGAAAAAAAACTGTACTGTGTGTATAGGGGCATAGTAAAATCAAAACGTTAAAACAACTTATAATTTGAAACGGTTGAATTACGTAATAAAATATTTCACTCCAATTTATGATGAAGGTAGAATGCTATTTGTATTTTCATGCGTATTTTTAACTTTGAATATAATAGCTGAGAGAGATGTTGGCACGCATACACACGCTGTCGGCGCACGTGCGGCGCACGTCCAGTGCATGTGCACAGCCGTGAGCCGTGCTGCAGCTACTCACAGCGAGCACAGTCGTCCCGGCTCTACAATAAATGATGCGCCCGACGCCGGCGTGTGCCGTGCCGCTGTGCCGTCTGGAGTGACTTCAACGGCCAGTCAGGTCACTACCGGGTTCCATCGTCAGCCGGTCAGCCACGTGATCACGTGGGAATATTCAAAGTCCAACCTTTCTCGATTTTCTTCTTTTCCCCACCCTATTTTATTGCCTATTTTCATTTTTTTTTCTTTGCGTCCAAGTGTGGCGCACGGCTCCTTAATTTAATTTATCTCAGCAAATTTCGTGGCACTAACCGGCTGCTTTATTTAAACCGGCTTCTTTGAAAATGGTGGATTGTGTAGGATGGGCCAAACCTAGAGGTCTGAGAATTTTCATTTCAACAAGACCTCTCTTTTCCACATCCTCTTCTCTTACTATCATATTCAGTACTACATACTTCTCTCATTCCAAATTGTAGGTCGATCTGATTTTTCCTAGATTCATAGCTATTGCTACGTATCTAGATATGTAGTAAAAGCTATGTATCTTAAAAAGCTAAACCAACTTATAATTTAAAATGAAGGGACCACTTGCAGACAAACCAGGAATTCGGGATACGCTGCTCTAAGTGGTGAACATACCTCTAGTTCCAACAGCAAGAAATAATATATAGGATCATATATTCTTTGGCCCTAATTGTTTTACCTTGCACATTATAGATTTCATCCAGTAGATTGTTAGTGGTGGGGATGGATTGTTGGATTGTACCCTGGGACCCGTTTGTTTTAACTTGTAGATTGTAACACCTGCAAGTTTAATAATGTAGTTTTATTACAATTCATGTTGTCTTATATAGTTTAACTGTACTTTGCAAAAGTTATATCTCGTATTCTCCCCCTGCTCGCAAAAATATGTTATTTGACATAAAAATTGGTCAAACCTTAAAAACTATAAATATTAATAACCATTAGATTATTTGAGTTTTATACGTAATTTTGTATTAAAAATACTTGCAAAATTTCATAAATTTCAAAGACCGTGTATATATAGTCAAGTTTGACAAGTATTTGTGTTACCAGAAGGAGCACATATCAACCAGTGCCTTTTGAAACTCTAGTTTCTTGAATAGTATCACCATGCTCGCATCACTAGGTTTTACCTTCTATTTTATTTTTTATGTGTTTAGAACCTAATAAACCTATTACTACCTCTGGATGCAAATTGCAAACGGGACCACAGCTGATGAAGCTTAACTGCCTACAACCACACTCCATGTGTGGGCCGGGACAATATATGGGAAGTTGATTTATCAGATAATCAGTTTTCAGGTGTTTTTTTTTTCCTCAAGCTGGTTTGTTCTTTCTTGCCGATCCTGTGAATGTTGACTTCTATGCCAAATCTGTTATATGGAGTAGGTAGCACTCCATAGCTACTACGTGCTGTAAATGTCTAGACTGAGCATGAAGATCTGCTGCAGCCAATCATTTGATGTTCTATTTTTTTTAGCAAAGGTAGATATCCCTAATAAATTGATTAATTAAACTCATGCTTCTATAATCAATTGAATCCCCGGGGCTATTCCATAACTCCTACTAAAAGGTTGTTTGGAATTACAAAAAACTTAATGTTCAAGTTAAAACCTTCGCATTCGCCACCTCCTTCGCCTGTTGTTTCTTAACATCACCTATGCGAGAGCTATCAGCTATGCTTCCTTTTTATGTAGTTACAACTATCCAAAGGTTAACAAAGGTGGTTCAAGATAGTCGAAATATGATAAGTGGCTCCAAGAGGATGTGAAAGCGGACAACTCCTGAAGGTATCAAGATGAAGCCTGAGGATGAGAGTCGTGATGGTCCCAGAGGACCACTGGGAAGGGAACATGATGCCAAATAGATAGGGTGAATTAGGTCACTTAAAAGCTAAGGCACAAAATCACTTATAAAAACCTACATAAGTCCTATCTACATGTGCACTAGGTTTTTCAAAGTGTTGCTATCCCTAACACAAAAACAAATTTGCAACCTAGGTTCAACCTCTCAACTAACCTAGCAAGCTAGACTAAAAAAGCACACACCAAGAAATGTAATGCAAAGTAAATGCGGAAACATAAATTGAGCCAGTGAATGTAAACTCCTGCACGACGATCTTTTTTACTTAGGTATTAGAAAGATCACGCTTTCCACTAGTCCTCTTTAGAACCCCTCTCAAAGATGCCATTGCAAGGGCTAAACTCCCAGTCGGGAAAATCTGTGGATAGCCTAAGAGTCTTCCCCACGTGCAAGTGGGTCTCCCAGATGAAAGTCCTATGTTTGGTTTTGGTAATTGAGACAACTATTGGACTAAACTTTTTCTAAGTGTTTGGTTAAGCTAGGTTAGGTCCACACCAAGATGAAGAGCAAGGCTTGGAGATGGATGAAGGGTGACCAATCGAATTTGAGCAAGCTCTCTCTTGGAAAAGAAGAAAGAGAAAAATAAAACCCTATGGAGTAAAGGCAAAGGTATTGCTAGGGCTGTCATTTTGCTGGTCAAGATGCAATAGAGTGTGTGATCGAGTTTAGGATAGATAGCCATACTATTAAGAGGGGATATCTAAAGTCAAACCGGTTATCTAAGTGGCACTAGGCGTGAGAATACATTGCATATGCAATAGACCTAGTGACGTGGTGAGATGCAAGTGAAAACCCTTTGAAAAATATTTGTGAAAATGCTAACTCACTTGCATATATATTGGACACTTATAGGAGTTAGCACATTTGAAAAATGGGGTCGAAAAGGAGGTGAACATAGCCTTTATGTGACCATCAGATTGATCCGATAGGTCTTCACAGGGAGCATAAGTTACGTAGAGGAAAGTTTAACTGCGCCTCGAGTTTGGAATCAGATTGTTCTAATTGTCGAACCTAGGGCACCATCGGACTATGGGCTAGAGGTTCCAGGCAGAGTGCACTATCAGTAGTCATCGAACTGTTCCAATGCTCGGCATGAGAACATCCGATGCAGAAAAACTATTTCTAGAACTTGTTGCGTAACCATTGGATAGATCTGATGGTTCACTGCAGTGCGGACATAGAAGTATGTGTTACACTAGCCATTAGGGAGTTAATGTCTAGTTTCCTATGACTACACACGCTATGCCATCGGATAGATCCGATGGCACCTGTCAGTGAGCATCAAATTATAAGCTACTGCTCAGTTGTGCCATAGGGCATAATCCGTTGGTGGGTGCTGGTGTGCATCGAAACAATCTGATGCCTATGTAGACAGCCCACCTGCTCAGCCCAATGGCTAGTTTCTTGGAGAGTGCTTATAAATAGTTTTTTAGAGCTCTCTTACTATTCTAAGCGAATCAACACTTGTGAGCATCCAAGAACACATTATATTCATCTCTTGACTTGTGCTTGATCCAAAGTTAGATTAGGAGAGATCTAGTGAATTTGTGTAATGCCCAAGAGTCTATATGGCTCAGATCCACTCTGCACACTGAGTGAACCACACCTATCACCAGCCCACTTACAGTTTTGTCCTCGCTTCAACTAAAAGGATTAACCCAAGGACGGTGGGATGGACACTAGAAGCCTTATATATTGGTCTAACCTCGACCTTTAATAACCATGGTGGGACTAAACTCTC